ACCCCCAAAATAATCAAAAGCTACAAAAGAACCCCCTGGAGAACTTTCAAAATACACAATTTCCTAAGTCCTTTCCTGGAGATCTTCATTCTGAACGTTCTGGTATGGGACCCAGGACTTGATCTTTTAAAAATGTGCTCAGGGCTTCCAGTGCACAGCCAGGAAATGGAAACCACTGACTAAAGCCCCCAAGTCTTGTCACCAGAGTGAGTGATTATTAGGCTCTAGTATCAACAGCTGAGTTGCTAAGCCAGGAATTAGAACTTCACACTTATGCTTAGAAAGTGTCCTTTTCATTTCAGCCACCTTTGATCTTTCAGATCTTGAACTTATCACTCAAATCCTGCCCCCACTGAGTGGCTTCAGGACCACTGGCAGGCAGGCCTTTCTCCCTTCCACACGGGTTTGAGAAAAGAGATGGCACTGTCTCTAAGCTGCTGTTAGTCACCAAGTTCACTCCTCACTAGTTTCCTGAGCAGTATCAGTACCACCTCAGTGAGAAGATGAGCTTACACACACCCTGTTTGAACATCAGTTCCCTTGACTCAGACGGCCAAGCACATGAATAGCTGCTCCAGAGGCCTGTGACTACAACGATGATGACTGCAGGCTAAGCACTACTGACAGGTGATCCACCCAGCAGGTGAAGCACAGGAAAGGTTTTCCTGGGGGAGGAAAAGCCTGCTTTGGGGTATCTGGAGACCTGCAGGACAAGCATGACTGACCCAGAGAGAGGGAGGGGAAGAGCGCTCTGGTTGGTTGAGTGACTATAAGTGAACGACTCAATGCATGTCCCACACGGGCCTATGTGCGTGAGTTTATGGGGATGGGGGAAATGTCCAGCTCCATAATAGAAACCCTCTGGGCCTGACACTGCCAAAGGTTTAGATGGAAAGTATTCCATGACTGTCCTTCCCAAGTGTCTCCCCTTCCCTCTGCCACCTGGCCCGGCCCAAAGCAAAGTGGTCTGTATGGAGATTTACACTGAGGTGGGTGGGTAAAGGAAGCACCCGTCCCTCAGGCTGGAAGTGAGGTTTCGGGGTGGGAGTGTATGTGGCAGAGGGCATGCTTGCCCAGAACAGGGTCAGGCTGAATTTGATGAGGTGGGTGTGTCAGGAGGAGTCGCCCAGATCTAGAGGATGGAAGGAGGAGGGCAGGTGCTGGAATGTCTGCTGGCTTCACTAGTTGCCTTGTGTGTCTTTTCACAACACTCCAGGGTCTAAGCCATTTTTTCTGGTCCCATCCAGCCCCGCCTAGTGACTCGATCTAGCTCACTGACAGGATTTTCCACCTCAGTTATGGCCTGCCCACCTCATCCCAGTCACAGTCAAAGTCACTGTGGGAGGGTTAAAGGCTGGAATGCCTGCTGTCCCAGATCCCACTATATCAAAATCATTTCATGGAACTGTCTGTCTTCCCTGGATGAAGACCAAGGAGAAGGAGACCAGAAAAGAAGACCAGAAAACCAGAACGAAGAGAAAGGTGATGATCAGCATGTCCCATATTGTCTGAAGTAGGGTCCACTGACAGGTTTTTTAGTGCCATGTTCATATACTCCCTGTATCATCCACACTGTGTGTAGCACAATATTTGCTCAATATATTTCTGGTTACTTTTTTTGAAACAGGGTCTCACTTTGTTGACCAGGCTAGAGTGCAGTGGTGTGATCACTGCTCACTGCAGCCTCGACCTCCCAGGCTCAAGAGATCCTCCCGCCTCAGCCTCCCGAGTAGCTAGAACCACAGGCATCCACCACCACGCCTGGCTAAATTTTAAATTTTTTGTAAAGACAGGGTCTAGCTACACTGGCCAGGATGATCTCAAACTCTTGGGCTCAAGCGATCCTCCTGCCTTGGCTCCCAAAGTGCCATCACACCCAGCCTCAATATATTTTTGAAAGGTATTCCTCCTCAGATATTAGCGTCATCACCCACTAAATAATTGTCAAATCACTGGTTATGCAGAAAAATTTACCTTTATCCATGTATGTATATGGATAATATTTATGGATATATATTATCCCTATATATCCATAACATCATTTTACAAATCATTCATACTTAGGAACATATGGATGAGCTGATTTGAAGGTCTTTCTAACACTTAGAGAATAAATGAGAAGTGGATATGGTGTGTGCTGGGTTCTGGGGCTGAGTTCTGCCCATGGGCACCCTGGGGCTGGGGCCATGCCCTGCTCTCCCAACACAAGGCTGGGCCACCTGGCTTCTCTCCTGCTCCCGCTCCCGCTCCATGCCCCAATCTTTGCTGTGTTTCCACAGCAGCCTCGGGATGTTTTCAGCACCTCTGATATCTGAGCATGGCTGCCTCATTCCATGCTATCTTCTGTCACTCTGGGGATGGTAGGCCCTGAAATGGGATGGGGACACAGGAAGTGGGAGGCAGCCCAATTCTGCCGTGGTGGAGCTGCTGGTCAGGTCCAACTGGCTTAAAAGAGCCCCAGCTGAAATGAATAGACATTCCTCTCTGAGCTGCCACAGCTCTGTGAGTCATCTGGGGGTGGTTTTGAGGAACACAGTCCTACGGTGGAGGCGATGGCCACCCAAAAACCCCAGAGAAGGAGGAGCAGGGCAAAGCAGTCACCTGGCTAAATTTGGAAGAGGAGACTGCAGCTGTTTCCACCCCCTCCTGCCCCCTCATCCTGGCATTAGGCTTTTTTTTTTTTTTTAATGGCCTTTGCTCGTCGCTTGAGCATTGCCAGCTATTTTCCCCAGGAGATATTAAAGCAGGGCACAGGCTGGCTGGGGGACACAGGCAGAGAGGCCCCGAGGCAGCTGCAGCTCATCCCAGGCAGGGGGAGGGCACAACAGGGGTGGGGGCACACAAGCAGGAACTCCACGCCCACTGACCAGCTGCTCCGGACACTGGGTGTGAGTGCCAGAGAGGCTGGCCCGGGACTGTGTGGGCCCGCCTGAGTGGTTGCTGGGTGGCAGCCTTAGTGCTCTGCCTTCCAGGGAAGTGGGAGTGCAAAGCTGGCTTCCCCAAGAACAGCCCCCATGGAGAGTGAAGGATCTGGGGCTGAGGTGAAGCAACACAAACACGGGCTGCATTATCACCTGGCTCTGTCACTAATTCACCAGGAAGCCTTGGGCAATGACTGGCTGTTCCCTGCCTCAGTTTCTTCTTCTGTAAACCAAGGAGGGGTCTCATACTTTCCAAAGTGCCATGCCACCAAGATCCTAGCTATTCTCTGGAGTGAGGGGCAGGCCTCTCTCTTGACACCTGGGTGGGCTGCCAGGGGCTGGGTGACAGAGCGCCCAGAGGAAGAGCCCCTTCATGATCTCCTCAACACACAGTCCCCACCATGAGCTGATAGAGATGGAGGGATATGTCCAGCTCCATATAGAAATCCTTTGAGACTGATGCCGCAAAAGGGTTAGAAGGGTTATGACTGTCCTTCTCAAGTGTCTGTCCTTCCTTCTGCCACCTGGCCTAGCCCAAAGCAAAATGGTTAGTATGGGGATATAGACTGATGTGGGTGGGTGAAGGAAGCACCTGTCCCTCACCCAGGAAGTGAGATTTCAGAGTGGGGGTGGGTGTAGCAGCCCCCCTGCTCCTCCAGCCAGCACTGTCATCCCATATCCTCAGCTGTCTCTAAGCAGAGGCAATGTGCGCAGGAGAATAGGAGCTGCGTGAAGGCAGGTCTTCTTGACTGATACATTCAAAGCATTTAAATGGTGCCAGCCTCATAGTAGGTCTTCGATAAATGTTAATTGAATAAATACATGAAATGGGCAAGAAGATGGGCTCTGGAGTCAGACTAGCTCTACTCACTTGGACCAGTGACCATTGGACTGGTGAGTTACTTAATATTTCTGACCCTTAAAATAGTCACCTGAAAAGTGGGGATCATGATGGTGCCTTCCCTCATAAGGCCATCATGGAGATTAAATAAGATACAACACCTAAGGCATTCTGCATGTGTCTGGCATGTAGTGGGTTCACTGTTATCATTTACAGGGTGGTTCTACCTGGATGTGCCACCAGCATTTTAAAGGTCACCTTGTATGGTCCAGCTCATCACCTCTCACTAGCAAGATGTTCTCTGCTGCTCCTGCTTTCAGTTGGTGACAATGTCATCCACTCAATCATCTAAACAGAAACGGGGAGTTCCTCTTGGCTCTTCCCATCCCCTGACCCCTGGGACGTCCTGGAAGGTTTTTCTACAGGTCTCATGCATCTGTCTTTTCCTCATTCCTGCTGCCATGACCCTTATTCTCTCTCACGCCTTGCTGTAAGATCTCCAGATGTCTTCTGCATTCCAAGCCCCTCCACACCCTGGATTTCTCTCTCTCTCTCTCTTTTTTTTTTTTTTGAGATGGAGTCTTGCTCTTGTTGCCCAGGCTGGAGTACAATGGCACAATCACGACTCACTGCAACCTCTGCCTCTCAGGTTCAAGTGATTCAGCCTCCCCGGTAGCTGGAATTACAGGTGTCTGCCACCACGCCCAACTAATTTTTGTATTTTTAGTAGAGATGGGGTTTCACCATGTTGGCCAGGCTGGTCTCGAACTCCTGACCTCAGGTGATCCACCCACCTCGGCCTCTCAAAGTTCTGGGATTATAGGTGTGAGCCACTGCACCCAACCCTGGATTTCTCTTTATCCTCAACCTTGCTGCAATCTTCTGTCTTCCTCCCTCCCTAGCTGTCAGCCCCTTGAGAACAAAGAACAAGTCTTTGTGCTTAGTAAACATTTGTTGACTAATGAATTAGCAAACACAGGAGACCAGAGTAAAGGTCCTGGTGGGGGAGAAAGGCCAAGTAGGAGGAGAAGAAAAATGAAAGGCAGTGAGAAGTGAAAAGCTACTTTGTGTGTAATTTATTACCTTTTAATCCACCATGATTTTGTTTAAAAGAGAATAGGTAAAAAATGAAATGGAAATACATCTATAAGATATGTACAAATGGTACCCAATGTGTTTCTATTCTAAGAGTGTGTTTCTAAGTTGACTGTTGAGAACTTGGCATAACATCTTCTGATAGACATGCAACTCAAGAATATATTGAGAGCTCATCCATAGTTGTCACTGTCTCAGATCATGACAATTATGGATGAGCTCTTAATATATCCCAGGCACTGTGCTAGACATTTTCCATGCATCTTTGTATGTAATCCCCGCCAGGAATTAGTATCCCCATTTTACAGATGAGGAACAGAGTTGTGGGAAATTTGTGCAACTGTTTCAAGCTCTTTTGGCCAATTAGGGAAGGAATTGAATCTAGGTCTGTTTGATCCCAAAGCTCATGCTTTCCCCATATACCATGTTGCTGTTAATTCCCAGCAATATGGCCAACTGCTCTGATTGGTCAGCCTTGGCCTCCCAGCCTTGTCATTGGCCAACACCGCCTGGAGGGAGGGCTCTGGCAGCTACCAAGGACCTGTAAGAGGGAAAGCCATGGACAGAGTAGAGAAGGAAGGACAAAGAAAGAGCCTCCTGATAAACATACCAGGTGGACTGAACCAGCAGGAGATCACGCCAAGGGCAAGTGAAAGTGCCTGAGAGAGAAACAAGGTCCAAATTCTAGAAGTCATACCCCTCGTCCCCTTCCCCTATGTCTGTACCAACAGAGTGGACGGGAGCCAAGAAGTGGAGCAGTGCCTGCCCTTTTGGAGGAGCAGGGGAAGGATGATCCATGCCTTTCTTGCCTGTGGACTCGGGGTCCCTCCTTGAGCGTTTGCTACACCCCCACCCCATCACTGTTGTCGGGGTGCTTTGCATAGGTGCCTGGGTGTCTGAAGGCGGAGAGTAGAGGTCACTGACTGGCTGCCTCGGAACCAAGTCTGGCCTGCAGATGTGTATAGATCGTCCTGCATAGTGTTTTTAAACATTGTTTAAATCGGGAAAGTTTCATACGAACATCTGGATTTCCAGCTTTGCTGGAAAATCTGAAGATCAGGCAGCCCAGGTCCAAATTCCCACATGGCAGCCATCAGCTGGCAAAGCCACGGCTGCCCCCTTCAGCTGGGGCACAGCCTGCCTCTCAGAGGACGAGATGAGACGGGAGGGAACACTCAAGCTGTCCCTGGCTATGGCCCCAGGTTCCGGGATAGCACCCTGGAGGTTTCCAAAAGCTGTGTCCTCCTCCCCTTGTGGCCAGTGAGGACAGAGAACTGCTTTGTCAGCTAATGAAATTGAGGCATGGCGGCTGCACGGCGGGAAGCCTGACAGCCTCCAAGCCTGCCTATTTCTCGACCACAAGGCTCAGTTCACTCCAGGAAGCCTGTTTGTGTTCCTAATGTAACATAAAACACCACTGACTTCCTGTTCTGGACCCCCTAGGACTCCCTCTCAGGCGGCAGTGCCTGCGCCCTAGGTCCCTGCACCCTAGGCTAGTGTGTCCAGGGCACCTGGGCAAACACTCGGGCACTGCAGGGCCCAGGGCTGGCCTCCCACGCCTCGGCCAGGGACACCCAGCAATCCAGCAGTGTGGCCCCTGCAGCTCCCCGTGCACAGGCCTGTTTACTTCTTCAGGGAATGCTGTAAGAGCCAGGCCCGATGAGCCGAAGAGGCCATTTCAGAACCACCAGGCAGATTTTTCATTCCAACTTCAAGGAGCTTCCAGAAAACCCAAACAAACATTTGAAAACGGCTGCCTCGCTACAGTTCTGGAGGCAGCGCCAAGTAGAAAGGCATCACCTGTGGGCTAGCAAGGGTCCCTGCCAGGAAGGAGGGTCCTGACATGCTGGGCTGACCTGCAAGACCCGCTGCTTGAGCCAACTGGGGGTGGAGTCCCTATGAATGACTCGTCCCCCTCCACGCCCCGTGATTGGAACGCTAGTGGATGGGTGATCTCTGTTCCTACTCTGCCTGGAATTCCCTCTCCTCTATCACACTTGAATATCACACTTGCCCTTCAAGACTCCTGGAGAACACTGATCCCCTGGGATTTTCTGGGACCACCCTCTGAGCCCCTAGGAAGCCCCTTTTGACTTAGACACCCCCCTTTCCTCTTTCTGCCTTCTACCAGAATTGGGTGCTTATGACTTTCTCTTCCCTGCTGGCCTGGGAGACCCCTTAGAGGAGGACATTCAAAAAGACCCCGCAGCTTCAAGTCCCACCCAACCTTTCCCAGTTAGGGGTCCTTGGACTTGCCACTTCATTTTTACAGTTCTGTGTCCTCAGCTGTAAAATGGGGTGGATAGTGCCTACCTGGTAGGGTGGTTGTGAGGGCAAGGGAAGAAAATGTGTGTAATGTGTCTAGAACTTTGCCTGGGACATAACCAAGACTGAAGGAATATTGGACAAATAAAAAGCCAGAAGGAACGACCACCTGGGAGGGTGAATTGCCCCTCACATCCAGGCCTGTGCCCGTGCCCCATGCAGCTCGCAGCCCACAGCCCAAGGGAGGTGGGCAGATGAAGGGGATGGAACTTTCTAATGTCCCTCTCAGCCTGCGGGGGCTCTCCTGAAGCATTTGCAGTACAGCCCCAGTTAACCACGAAGGCAAGCGCAGTGTTGCCTTTTCCCACTACACAGGGCCCCATTGCTGAAGGCCCACCCTTCTGCTGTGAGGGACGCCAGGAGGTCTGGCCGGTTCCACTGCTGCTGAGGGTGCTGGCCCTCCTGCAGGGCCCAGTTTGCAGGGAGCCCAGGACTTTGCACTTGACTCCCTCAGAAGCTGGTGTCCTCTGGCTCCACACTTATCCCTCCCCCCCTTGGGACAAGCTGCCCTTGTTTGCCTCTTTCATTCATTCTTAAGTCTGCCCTCTGTTGAAGCCACAAATTAAACACACACGCACACACACACACTCACAGCCTTGACTCCACAACCTTTGCTCCTGACCGGGCCTCCTCTGAACAGAGGTTTCCTGTGCTATGGAATACGATTCCTGTTAGCTGAGGAGAAGTGGCTTTCAGGCCTCTGGGCCAGGGCCCCTCTCACTTCACTGAGTGTGGCTGCCACCACATCAGCGGCTTCTTGTCCTCTCCTGCTACCCCAAACACCTCAACCCCAGCCTGAGTCCTGCTGCCTCCATTTCCTGTCTCCTCAGAGGGCTCAGCTGCAAACCAAGACGCCTGAGGGTGGCCTCAACTCCTGAGTGCTGGACACCCTGTGACTTAAACCCCCTAATACCTCAGCACCAAACATGCACGGAGCTCTTTGGCTATCCAGAAAAAGCAGGGCAGAAGGCAGGGAACACAGATTTTGGAGCCACGTAGGGTCAAATACTCAGTCTGCCCCATCCTAGCTGAGTCACTGAAAGCAAGTTGCCCAACCTGTCTGAACCTCAGTGTGCTCCTCTGCAAAATGGGAATGCCTTCCTTATACATCTGAAGAGAGAACATGGAAGTACTCAATGAATTTTAAAGAGCTGTGTCAGTATTGGTTGCCACTGAGTATAGGGCATTGGGATAGGTCTTGGGAATACAAAGACAAATCACACAGGCGTGTTTATCCTCAAGGACCTCCTGACTAGTGAGGTGGATGAAGCACATAGAACAACATAGAGGAAAGAGGACTTCTTAAAGGGGCCTGATGAAGTGCCTGGGAATTTCAATCCAACCATGTGTATTTGGGCAGTGATGGGAGGTGGCATTGCACTCAGCCTTGAACCAAGGGAATGCTGCAGGACCCAGGCCCGCTGCGCCGGAGAGGCCATTTCAGAACCACCAGGCAGATTTTTCATTCCAACTTCAAAGAGCTTTCAGAAAACCCAAACAAACATTTGAAAACGGCTGCCTCGCCACATTTCTGGAGGCAGCGCCAAGGAGAAGGGCATCGCCCACGGGCCAGCAGGGTCCCTGCCAGGAAGGAGGGTCCTAACAGGCTGGGCTGACCTGCAAGACCTGCTGCTCCAGCCAACTGGGTGTGGAGTCCCTATGAATGACTCGTCCCCACCCTCCGCTCCCCGCGAGTGGGTTATCTCCGCTCCTACTCTGCCTGGAATTCCCTCTCCTCTGTCACTCTTCCACATCGCAGGTCAGGGTCTGGACAAGCAGAGAGTCTGGGGCAGGGAACAGCAGCGTAGAAACCTGGAGGGGCTGTAGCATACAGCACACCTGGGAAAGCCAGAGGGGCAGAGTGGGAAATGCACTGGTAGAAGTCCATGGGAGAAAGGGTGTTCTCACCTAAAATGGGTAAATAAGGAAGTTGGTGTGGCCAGTGGAGGGCAGAGAGGAAAGCAACGAGAGACCCCAGTCTGTGCAGGGGTGGTATTTGGGATGCAAGGTGAAACCTCCAGGTGGGGAGGGATTACTTTAGCAACTGCCCATGTCTATACCGTGAGCTCAGCAGGGCAACTTTGCCCCCAACGGCTGGCATCTTGAATGAAAAGAAATGAGCACTAATAATGCCCCCAAATAAATGCAAGGATGCTTGGTCAGATGCTCTGGAATATCTGTGTACTTCCTCTTGATGGAAGGCATATGGGGAAGAAGGAAAATATCATCAGATAGTATTTGGAACAAGAGTTCCAGCCAACCGGTGGCAACTTCTTGGAGGCAGTCTGGTGAAGTGGCTGGAACTCTAGCATTAGAATCCGAGTTTTGACTGTATGTTTTTGGGCAACACCTGGTTTCCTAAGCTCCAGTGACCTCTCAAGGGTGTTATGAGGACAGACATGAGCTGGTGCCTGTGTTCTGTACCAGGTTGCCATAAAGAATGGTGTTCTTTGGGTCTTGTCATTTTGAACTCCTCTTCCAGAGTAGCCTGAGAAACCCTCTGCTTACCTGATTCTAGACTCCACCACCCATCATTTACACCCCTCCCATCTCTCTTGTTCATTCCATTTGCATATCCATCTGTTTGTCTGCCATGCATGGAATCTGGTATGACATCACTCTCCCCCATCTGTACATCTCAGAGTGCTTATGAAGCAAATCATTCTGAGCAACCACGGATTACTGAGGAGGGCCTGCTAGTGCTCTGGAGTTTTAGCAACCTCATCTTCTCCTTGGCCTCAGAGACTGTGCTGAGGGCCAGACACATCCCTTAGACCAGAGTCAGCAGATGATTGCAGATATAATAGGGATGTTGGGTGTGGGTCTGTTTCCAATGAAGGGGAGAGTGGTTCTGGGGCCAGCTCTGGTAGTTGGAGCTAGGGGCTGGGGAGAAATTAGAAATAACCTTTCTGA